GGGGGGGGGGTGTGTATCACTGCAGTGTGGATAACAAACAAAGAGCCTGTTATTAACAGCTTCCGCCACATGTATAGATTAAAACTGACACAAGCCTCACCAGCCAGTTCAGTCTGCAGCACTTCCATCACATCCTCCCTCCCCTGGGAGCCACTCAACCAGCATCCAGCTGCTGGTGCGACCCTTCCCTTCATGGTTTGGACGTCGGGTCAGAAAGCGATGCCAGGACTTGTTACCCGGAGCCTCGCGGATCAATGGGGAGAACTTGGCCTTTTTCTACTTCCACAAGTTTCACATTCAAATGTATCGCTCCAGTATTCAGCACAATGGGAGCTTTGTGTGTTTGGTGTGGGGCAGAAGCCGATCCATGTTGAAAGCTCTCTCTCTCTCTGCCATGTCTTTGTTTTCTCAGTTGTGTACACTGCTGCTGAGAGCTGCTATCAGTTTTTTCTTTATGACGAGACTAATTGAAGCTGAAAGAAAGGATATTACTAAACCTCTCCAGAACGCTGCTCATCACTCACCGTAGATATTCACTGGAATTCAGCAGCAATTCTGTAGAAAGAAAAACTTGTATTTTAAAACTTTTAAACTGTATTTAAAATGAAAAAAATATGTAAAAATACTACAACCAGCACTGCACTGGAGCAGGTCGGATTCTTATTCCTGTTTTCTTCTTCCTTCAGGGATAATGTTGGTGGGATGACCACATACACACCAGGCGGGCAGGTCGTAGTCAAGCCAATGACCCCTACCAGTGCGAGTGGTCTGTCACCTTCCCCTGACGCCAGTGTCACAAGTAATACCCACCACTCCATGTCAGCCCCCAGCACCCCTGGACGTGGTTTCGGTGCTGTATCGGGTCGGGCGTCCACGCCTCAGGGAAACAGCCACTCACTCAAGCTGGGCAGCCCTTCAGCGCAGGGAAGCCCCGGCATCAGTTCTGGGGCCCAGGGTGCAATGCTGTCTCCTCGTCATCACCTGAGTCCCAGCATTCCAGCTAGCAGCTGTAGTAGCCCTCACCTCCCCCAGCATCCCCCTGGTTCTTTCTCTCCGGTCGCCGGCCTCCACTCGCCAGCATCCGTGTGCAGCAGCACCGGAAACAGCCAAGGGTTCAACTCCCTCAGTGCGCTGCAAGCCCTCAGCCAGGGCCACAGGGTTTCCCAGGGTCTCACAGAGGGCCAGCATCCAGATTCACCTGACAGAAAGCTGGCTGGCCTTCAGAGCCCTCTTCACTGCAGCAGCACAGGAAGTAGCCAACTAGCAAAGAACCATCCCAGCTTAGAGACTGACTTGTTTGGGACTTTTGGAGAGCAGCAAGACTTGTTGTTGTCCCAAAACCAGGAAGGTGAGCAGGGGGAAGGCAAAGACAGTGACCATGACATCTTCGACAGTAATGGAGGTGAGCTCGGCAACACCACAAACCGCCTTCTCAACACCAAAGGGCACACGAAGCTGCTCCAGCTCCTCACTACTAAGCTAGAACCCTCTGATCCCGGCTCACCGCCGGGGCCCCTCAGGGACGACCAGAACTGTAAGGACCCGCTGAGCAGGGTCGGGGGTGTCGGTGGGGCTGGGCATAACAACTACTCCACTTCATTAAAGGAGAAACACAAAATTCTCCACAGGTTGCTGCAGAACAGCACCTCGCCTGTGGAGCTGGCCAAGCTGACGGCAGAAGCCACCGGAAAAGACGCCATTGGTCCCGAGTCCGCCTCGGGGGACAACATGGCCTCGCTGGCTGAACTCTGCGTAAAACAGGAGCCGGGCAGCCCCAAAAAGAAAGACAATGCGCTGCTACGCTACTTGTTGGACAGGGACGACAACGGCATCCTGGATAAAGCGACGAAGATGGAGCCTGGCGATGGACCAAAGCTGCCCAACATTAAGACAGAGAAACAGGAAGTGGGCTTCAACATGGCGGACCAGGTCAGTTTACAGTGTTCGCAGTTGTGTTCATCATTAGTGCAGTTGGTCGACTGACAAGAAATAATCCAGTAAGTCATTTATAATGCAGGTTAATTATCTCAAATGAGAGGTTTTGCTGTTTCTAACTGTTTAACAGCCGTCAGAGATTAAGCTGTGGCAGTATTTACACGTGTGTGTCTCTCTAGTTCCTTTCTTACACTACAACGTTCAGCCTGTAAAGAGTGTTGTGTTCATTGAAAGTTCAGGTGCGTTCACACAGAGGCGGAAGAACTGTGGATCCAACAGTTGTACCTCCGGAGTGGAAGGGGGGAGGAGAGTCTGTCTCCCAGGAAGGTTTCTCGTTCGCTCTTTGTAGAATGAGACGAGGTTTTGTTGAGCTGGAGCTGAATAAGCCAGGAAGCTGTTTGTTTTGTGTTTAAACAGAGGTTTAAACTCCTCTGATGAAGTTCCAGCTAACGGGAACAGGACAAACAGAAAGATGAAGCGAAGAGCAACGTGCATGAGTGTGTTTTTATCGAAGTGTTCACAGTCAAACTTATAAATTCAAGGTGCAGTTAGTGTGAGTGTGTCAGTAGTTATGAGCGTACAGATTGTGTGTTCATGTGTTTTCGTTCCACTGTAGTTGTGCCAGTGCTTCAAGAGTGATTGAATATGTAAACGTGTCAGTGTGTAACATTCACTGGTGCAAATCAGATTTAGGATGTGAAAATAAATGTCAGGGTTAAAATATTTGACTCCTCCATTCTCCTCTATTGTGTCTAAGACCTAAAGTAGGAAGTGGCTTTTTAGTGACATCTAGGGGCAACAACAAAAATCTGTTTGGTTAAAGCAAATTCAAATGTTGTCAATGTTGCTACCTGTTAGCTCACTGATATAATATATCAGATATTACAAAGAAATGACAGTGACGCCTTAGATCTCGCTGTCATATACTATATATACTATGAACAAAGAAATGTAATTGAAGGTTGATATTTTACAGTCTCACTATAAACTTTATTATAAATATCTATAGATAAAAAGGAAACACATTTATAGAACTTGAATAAGAAAACAAAATTAAATTAAATAAGAAAAAACATTGAGACCATCTGTGAAAGGCTGTTTCTAGACAAAGAGAAAAGCTGTGGCTGTTTAATATTCAATAAGATGAATAAAAAACTAACAGATCAACTCTGTGGCTAATAAAAGCTAATGTAGCCGCATTATAGCTGCATTCTTCAGCTACTACTGGACACTGACAGTTTTTAGGGAACACGTCCATCACTCCCCCTTTGAAATGATGCCCTCTATGTGTGGTAGTATTGAGGTCAGTGTGTGTTTCTGTTGTGTTGTGTGTATGTTTTTACACTATGGCTAAACTGAGCTATGACTGTGTGTCTTATTGTACATCACACATGACCTCATTAGTGCCGGCAGTTTATTTTTAGCTCCTCCTCTATTCATAAGCCAAACGGCCCGAGGAAACCATTCCTGTGTGTGTGTGTGTGTGTGTGTGTGTGTGTGTGTGTGTGTGTGTGTGGTTTTGATAATTTTTTTGCCTCACTCTTAAAAAAAAAAAAACTCTCAAAAACATTTTGTGATGGCAAAACAGTTTGAAGCACCTCAGAGAAAAGTAAAAACCAGCAGCAAACTTTTAAACTGTGAAGAATTCTAAACAGAGTTCGGTGGATTCGTTTCAGCGGCAGCTCTTCTGGTTCAAGAAGCAAAGGATGTCAGCTGAAAATTCTTAAATGTGTTTGTAGAAACTCAAACATGCACATTAAGTCCTTAAATATGGTTGAGACATCCCCTTGATATATACTGAAGTGTAGGAATGTTTTGTTGCATTTAGTTTTGTAATTTAATCTTATTTTTGCTGATCTCAGACCAGTGAACTTGAGGACCTTCTGGAGGACCTGCAGAGCGGCGGCCAGCAGCAGCTGTTTGGAGCCCAGCCACCAGCTAGAGGACCACCCTCCTCTTCGTCCTCCTCTTCCTCCGTGCCCCCCGGTTCCTCTGTGGATAAACAAACCATCATCAGCGATATCCTACACATGAGCAACAACAACAGCGGCGGCGGAAGCGGCAACAGCAGCCCCCCCAGCCAGCACAGAGCCTTCCCCCCCATTTGCCCAGCAAGTACGTCTGCAACAGGATGTTTGTGTCTGGCTTCATTTGAGGATTTCTGGGTTCCTGCTAAAATCCTCATAATGTCAATGAGAAAATTAGAAAACACTCATCGCATTTGTCCCTCAGCAAGTGTGTACATTTATAATTTACGTGTGTCTTCTTCCCAGCAGGTTTCAGTGGAGCCAGGCCGGGCCAGCCGGGTCGAGGTGCCCCTCCTGTCAGGAGCATGTCCCTGGACGGCAGTATGGGCTCCAACCCCAACACCGCCAGGCCTTTCCCTCCTCATCACAGGAACATCAGCCCCTACTCCTTACTGCAGCATCAACAACAGCAAGGCATGATGGGAAGTCATGCAGGCATGGCCAACCAAGCTACAATGGCCAACTCAGGTGAGGCTGAAAAAAAAAAGAAAAAAGAGCTTTTTAAACAAATTCACAAGCTCCGACGTCGTATCTTAAATAATTTTACGTACTGGGACATCCTGAAAGTTGATCTAAGTTTCTAAGAAGTATTTTTTGAGCTTCTCTATTTTATAAAAATGACTTTACTTGTGAAATTCTTCCCCCTGAATCAGGCATGCTGACTAATGGGTCAATGCGAGGCTCCATGCAGCAGAGCTGGGGTCCCCAGGGGCCAATGGGGGGTCCTGCGGGGCAGATGATGGGCCAGGGGATCGGACCTGGTCGCATGGTGCCCAGCATGAACACTGGGCTCCCCACGAGAGGCCCGCCTGGATCCAGAGCTATGGTGAACATTCAGATGATGGGAAATGGTGAGAAAAAAAGACGGGGAAAAGATAAACGCATAAAAGAGAGAACAAAAAATATGACACCAATCATCATCAAAAGCAGAAACGATCCTGACATTTGCATTTCTTTGCTGCAGAGATGGAGATGGCAAACCCTGTCTACCCTCAGCAGCAAGCCCCGCCCAACCAGACTGCACCATGGCCAGACCGAATGATGATGGATCACTATGGAAACCAAAGCAGGTTTGGCATTTATTCAACCTGTCGGCCGATAAGAAATCAGACGCGAGCTGCGCTTGTGGGGGTTTGAATGTGAGCTCCGTGTCGACCCTCGTCTCGTGAAACTAACGCCAAGGTATCTTTCAGGCCACCGTACGGCGTTCCACAGGCGGATGGGATGGGGTGTTGCACCATGGGGCCCGAGGGCCAGCCAGACGAAGGGGCCCTGCTGAACCAGCTGTGCTCGGTGCTAAAGGACTATGAGGGTCTAGAGGAGATTGACAAGATGCTGGGAATCCCAACGCTGGCCAGACAGGTGGAATTTGTATAAACTTTTTATCAGCCATTTTCCCCAACCACAATGATGCTTTTTAGACCAAAACACTAAACACATTTTTTATTTATTCCCCTTTCTCACCATCTTCCCTCCCTGCAGGCTCCTCTGTCGGACCAGGACCAGTACCTGAGCTCCTCAGACCCAGCAGCCAGCATGAAGCCTCCCCAGTACAGCCAACACTACGGCGGGCAGCCAGGTTATGGCGGCATTCCATCTGATGGTGGGTTCCACGGACCCTCTATGGTTGGCCACATGGGGCCACAAAGGATGCCCCCTGCTGGTTACCCCCCAATGATGAGGATGCCTGGGGGTGTGGGGCCCAGGTCGGCAGGAATGAGGCCAGGGGCTCCCAGTGCCGTGGTGCCACCTCAGCCCAACAACCTGAGGCTCCAGCTGCAGCACAGACTCCAGGCCCAACTGGTAGGTCACAACACACGTGTCAGATCACTCCTCCGTCAGTTCTGCGATGCTTATCGACCTCAGACCTGTGGAATGGGGAACAGACCATCACATGCATCTGTGACTTTCTGCTGAGACGTCGTGGGTTTGTTTACTACATGTTTCAGTGATTGTCTCTGTCCATCAAACCTCCATCGCAATTGGTCCAAAGTAAATTCACCTCGTTGCTTCGCTTGTTCTCCGTGTTCTGCGTGGTCTTTCTCTGGGTACTCATCAGTCCGAACACATGCAGATTAGGTTAATTGGAGACTCAAAGCTGTAGTTGTGATGCAGATGTGTTTCTGTGTGTCGCTCCAGCTTTCCACCGTCAGTGGCAAAGAAAATGGATGGATATTTTTTTGAGAAAGTGAATAACGGATCCTTACACTTGTTTTAATAAGTGCCAAACCTCATCACCATGAAAAAGATGGTGTGATCGTTGTGCACTGAAATTCATATCACAGCAGTCTCTGTCTGTAGCAGCCTGCACATGAAGCACACGTACATTGTTCTTCTACCGTGTGATGCTGGTGAGTGGACAGTGATGCCGACAGGGTTCAGCGAGTTTGAACTCAACGGCCGCAGCCAGAAAGGAACAAACGTGTTTCAGCTCTCTGCCTTCATCAGCGATTCCCTGCTGCAGAGACACTTAACCAGCAACACACATGCATGCGGTGTGCACTTAAACACACACAAAATCATTATTGCCTTTCGCGCCTGGCTGTTAACACACTTGTCTCTTTGGAGAATCCATTTCCCCCACAATGCTCCTGTTCTGGAGTGTATGCACTTTATGTTCTGTTACGATGTTGTTCATGCATTGAAGGGTATTTTTAGTTTCTGCATATGTTCACGTGTTTGGATACTAGATGTTTCATGTTGAGGGTCCAAATTGTCTAAAAATGTGAAGAGTGAAGGATACATCAAAGTCTAGACTGCCACCTAGTGGAGAGTCCGAGACATAACGAGGTCCAGGGTTGTTTTTTACTTCACTTCATCTTCAATTGTGAGGAAGTGCAAGTAATTGTTGGGCTCTGATATTCCTTCAAATCTGTCGTACTTGACATGTATCTTAAATTTCATTCATTCTGGTTTTATAAAGTCTGAGGGCTGATCA